GGCCGACGACCGCGGCCGCCGCCGCGGGCCGCGGCGCGCTCGCGCGGGCCGCCTTCGCGCTGAGCGCCGCCGCCGCCGCGGCCCTCGCGGCCCTCGCCGCCGCCGCGGCGCCGGGCGCCGCGGGGGGCGCCGCGGCGGCGGAGCGGCTCGCCGCGCGGCTCGCCGGCCGCGGCGCGGCCCGCGACGCGTCGGCGGCCGCGGTCCTCGGCCTCGCCGTGGGCCCGCCCCTCGCCGTCGCGTCGGGCCTGCCCCTGGGCCTCGTCGTCCCCCTCGGCCAGCGCGGCGCGGCGCCCCGCGGGGTACTGTAGTAGGCGCGACGTTCGACGAGAGCGCGCGAACCGAGAGGCGCCGACGCTTCGAACCGGGGCATCGGCGCGCGCCATCGCCGCGTCATCGTAGGCTCGGCGCCGCGCTCGGGACGCTGCTCGCGCGGTCGACGGCGCGCGCGCTGGACGGCGGCGGCGCCGTCGTCGAGCGGGCCCTCGAGGCGTCCGCGACGGTCGCCGGCGGCCGCGAGCGGGGCCTCGGCGACGACGGCGGCGGCGCGCGCGCCGACGTCGTCGCGGCGCTCCGCGCGGAGCGGCCCGGCCACGGGCTCGAGCGGCTCGCGGAGGCGCTCCGGCGGTCCTGCGACGGCGACGCGGCGGACCGGCGCCTCGCGGCCGCGGGCCTCGCCGCGGGGCTCGGCGCGGGCCTCGGCGCGCCGGTCTCCGCGGCGGCCGCGGCCGCGGCGGCGTGCGGCGGGCGCCACGGCGCCGACTGCGCCGTCGCCGCGGCCGCGGCCGCGCTCGCGCGCGGCCTCGGCGGCGACCCGCTCGGTCTCCGGGGCGCGCCCGCGCCCGCGCTCGCCGACGGCGCGCGGGCGCTCGCGCTCGGCGCGGCCTGCGGCGCCGGCGGCGCGTGCGTCGCCGCGGCCGCGCGCCGCGCGGCGGCGCTGCGGGCCGCGCTGCCGGCGAAGCTCCGGGCGCTCGACGCCGCGGCCGCGGCCGGCGCGCTCGCCGCGCTCGCCTACGGGCGCGGCGCGGGCCCGGGCGCCGCGCCGCTAAGCGCGGGCGTCGGCGAAGCGTTCGCGCCCGGCGCGGCGCTCGCGCGGTCCGTCGCGCTGGCGGCCGCGGTGGCCGCGTGCGGCGGGCTGGACCTCCCGGGCGGCGCCGTCGCGCCCGCGGTCGCCGCGGGCGCCTTGCTGGGCCGGGGCCTCGCGCCCGCGCTCGGCGGCGACGGCCGCGTCGCCGCGGTCGTCGGCGCCGCGGCGGCGGTCCCGGGCGCGGTCCGCGGCGTGCCCGCGGCCCTCGCGGCCGCGGCCGTCGCCGAGGCCGGCGGCAGGGCAGCAAAAGAGAGCGAAATTCCCAACTTCAAAGGCTCCTATCTCGGCCGTTTTCCACTCGTTTCGGCTAATTCTTGGACGAGCGATCATCTCTCGGAACGGTCTCGAAGCGTGGATGCTTTTTTCGGAACGCGCGCGCGCGGAACACTCACGTTGAAGCGACGTTGAATCACCCTTGTCCTGCCCAGGCCGGCGGCGACGCCGCGGCGCTCGGCCCGGTCCTCCTCGCCGCCTGCGTCGCCGCGGACGTCGCCGCGCGCCGGTTCGCGCGCGGCACGCCGGCGCCCGCGGACGGCGGCGTCGCGGCCGCGCCGGAGGACGAGCGCCGCGTCGCCTTCGGCGCGTGGCCCGCCGCGCGGGCCCTCGCGGCGAAGCGGAGCCGGTCCGCCGCCGAGGACGGCGAGCTCCGCGCCGCGCTCAGCTTCGGCGTCGCGGCGGGCGGCCTCCACGTCGGCGACGTCGTCGACCGCGGCGCGCGGACCCTCGCGCCGCGCGAGCCCCTCGGAACGCTCGCGGCGGCCGTGCTCGACGCGGAGCGGCGGCCGCCGGCCGCGGCCTTCTACTGCGTCGTCGACGGCGACGGGGCTTTGGTCGGCACGGTGCCCTTGTCGACGGTGTTGCTCCTCGTCGCGACGCGCGCCGCGGGCCGAGGCCTGTGTGGAAATCGACTGTGTGGTTCGGGGGGTCCCCACCAAACTTCAGAACTCTCGAGCTCGGTCAAATCGCAGTCGATTCGGCTGATATTGAAGTCGGGTTGAAGATTTGAGTTCCACGCAGGCCTCGGCGACGGCGCCGCGCACGCGCCGCTCGAGTCGCCGCCCCTGAGCTGGCGCGCCGCGCGCGCGGCGCGGCGCCGCGACGCCGCGCCGGGCCTGCGCGCCGCGGCGTGCGCGGTGGCGGGCGGCCTGCGGCCCGGCGACGCCGCGCGGATCGTCGACCTGCGGCCCCACGCGGACGTCGGCCCTTTGGCGCTGCCGCGCGACATGAGCGCGGACCGCGCCGCGGCGCTCGTCGCCGCGCTGGGCCTCGCCGCGGCGGCCGTCGTCGACCGGGGCCGGTGCGTCGGCGTCGTCACGCGGGAGCGCCTCGCGCCCGCGTCCCTCGCCGAGGCCGCGGCGCGGCTCGAGCGCGCGGCCGCGGCGCGCGAGGCCGCGGACGACCGGCGGACCGCCATGACGGCCCTCATGGGCCACGGCGACGCCCGGCTCTGGGGCTGGCCGCCCTAAGGGACGTTGTGGCGCGTCGTCTGTGGGGAATGTCCCGGGGGTCGCGGGTCTCGCACTTGGCCTCGCCTCGCAAGTTACAAGTTACTCAGCGTAGGAAGTCGCCGAGGAGGAGCTTGCGCGCCTGCTCGTAGATGAGGAACGTGAGCACCGTCGACGGCAGGAACCGCGCCCAGAGCGGCAGCCAGCCGCGGACGAAGACGCGCGGCCCGCGCGCCGCGAGGAGGCCCCGCGCGCAGGCCGCGACGCCGCCGGCGCCCGGGGGCGACGCCTGGTAGTGCGTCAGCGTCACGTCGAGCGGGACCATGGCCGTCGTCAGCGAGACCGACGCGCACAGCGACGCGGCGCAATGTAACGCGGGCCCGTCGTCCAGCAACCCCCGGTCCACGGCGAAGCCCTTGGCCGAGTCGTAGGTCGCGAGCTGCGTGCCGGACATGACCGCGCCGCGCGCGACGAGGAGCGGCGCGCCCCGCCAGAGCGCCCGTACGCCCGGCGCCGCGAGGCGCCGGAGCGTCGCGAGGCCCGGCCCGAGGTCGCGCACGTGCGCGACGCGCGTCGCGTAAAAAAAAGGCGCGGCGACGCTGTAGCCCAGCGCGCCGCCCGCGAGGCCCGACGCGTACATGAAGAGCGGCGACCGCCGCGCCTCGGCCGGCGCGAACGAATCGCGGAGCGTCGGGTACAGACCGATCCGCGTGCCCACGGAGATCGTGCAGGCGCACACGTTCGTCGCGAGGCCCGGCCGCCAGAGGCCGCGCCAGAGGCCGTCGCCGGCGACGAGCGCGCGCGCGAAGGCGGCGACGCCGCCGCCGCTGTGCGGCGCGACCTGGAAGCGGCTCTTGAGGCAGTCGAGCGGGTTCGTGAGCGCGATGACGGCGCTGCCCGTGAGGCACGACGCGCCGATGTTCGCGTTCCGCCTCCAGGCCTCGGTCCGGGCGGCCATGGTCGCGCGGCAAGCGGCCCGCCTCGGCGCTTGCGCCTGTCCCACCTTTTACCACAGACGGCATGTTGAAGGTCAACATGGCAGCCCATTTAGCGCCGCGAATTTCCGGCCAGTGCGCGTTCCTGGGAGAGTTTGCGGGCTCTCCGAACGTAAACACACCCGACACCATGGGCAACGGCGCGAGCACGCTCGACAACGCGGGGCCGCTGCAGCTCCCCGTGAGCCCCCGGAGCGCCAAGGGCAACCGCAAGACCTCGAAGACGAAGAAGATGGGCAAGAAGGGCACCCGCGACGACGACTTCGTGAACCCCATGTTCATCGGCGACCGCGGCGCGGCGCCGTCGCCGCGCGGAAACGGCGCGCGCGCGTTCGACGCGCTGGCTCTCTCGACGCGGTCGCCGGCGACGCCGAACCGCTGCCAGCTCGTGCGAAAGGACGGCGCGTACGCGCTCTACGACCGCCGCGGCGCGCTGCTCCTGACAGCCAAGGCGACGAGCCCTTTCGGCATTCTCGCGGGCGGCTGGTCCGTCTTCGCGGACGGGAAGCTGCTGGGCAAGGCCGTCGCCGCGGACCTCGAGGCGACGCGGTACACGTTCGCGCCGGCGCGGTCGGCCGACGCGGCGGCGGCGATGCGCTTCGCGCCGAACCCCGTGAACCGGGCCCTGCCCCCGGCGCTAACTCTCGTCGTGCCACTCGCCGGAATGATGAACGCCGCGGACGCGCTCGGCCACCTCCGCTTCGGCGGCGACGACGGGTCCCTCGCGCGGCTCACCAGCGTGCCCGTGCACTGGGACGGCGAGGGCTGGGTGCTCCACTTCCCCAAGGACGTCGACGTGCGGCCCAGCGCGAAGAATTTCCAGTTGGCGGACCGCGCGGGCCGCGTGTGCCTCACGCTCGCGCGGACCATGGCCGACACGTACTGCGTCGAGTTCGCCGCGCCGCTCTCCGAGTTCACGGCGCTCTGCGCCTGCCTCGCGTCGATCAAGTCCTACCGCGCCTTCCAGTCCTAGTGGGGCGAATTTAGTTGTTTTTTGTCACGACGGCCGGTCCTCGCGCGGCGGGCAGACAACGTCGACGTAGAAGGACTCGTGGGCCCGGGAGAGGCCATCGAAGGCCGCGGCGACGTCCGGGATGCGTCGGCTCTCGCGGAACGCCGCCCGCTCGGGCGCGCAGCCGAGGTCCGCCTCGTCGAGGAGCCCCAAAAACTCCGCGTAGTCGTAGAGGTAGCCGCGGCCGTGGCCGTAGGCGGTGAAGATGTTGTTGAGCGTCGCGGCGCCCGGCGGCAGGTCGAAGAGGTCGCCGTTGAGCCGGTGGCGCGCGGCGAGGAACGACCCGTCGCCGAGGTAGGACGCCGCGTACGCGGCGAGGTCGGGCCTGGGCAGCACAAGGGTGCGACACGCCCGACTTCAAAGGCTCCGCTCTCGGCCGGTTCCCACTCGTTTCGGCTGATTTTTCGACGAGCGATCATCTCTCGGAGCGTGCTCGACGCGTGGATGCTTTTCTTGGAACGCGCGCGCGCGGAAATATCACCTTGAAGCGACGTTGCATCACCCGTTCGCGGCCCCGGGTCGGGCGACGACACCCTGAGGACGCCGCCGCGCGAGAGGAGCCGCCGCGCCTCCCTGAGGAAGGCGAGCGCGCCCGACCGGGGCACGTGCTCGATGAAGTGCTCCGCGTAGACGTAGTCCACGGCCCCGTCGGGCAGCGGGAACGGCTCCGTCGCGTCGTGCCTCAAAAAGTAGCGCCGGCCGCCCGCGAGGCCGTCGACGCCGACGAAGGGCGCGTCGACGCCGGCGGCCGCGACGGGGCTCGCGAGGTCGCTGTTCAGCGCGCCGGACCGCAGCGCCGGCCCGCAGCCCACGTGGAGGCCCTCGACGCCGAGGGCGCGCCAGACGCGCGTCGTCGCCTCGCCGTAGGCCGGCAGGGCCAGGGCGACGACGGTGACGTTGACCGGGGCCTGGGCCGCCGCCGACGCCGCGAGGAAGAGCGCGGCGCGACTCATGCGCGCCTGGCGCACGCGGCGGCGCGGCATGGTGTTTAGGCGTCTCACGAGAGCAGCTCCATCGTGAGGGGGCAGCTCATCGTTCAACGTTCAAGAGAATGTTCAAGGTGAAGCGAAGCGCCTAGAGCTGCCGCAGGCGATAGGCCAGCTCCCCGCCTCCATCGCAGCCATGTCTCGCCACCCGTCGGCCCTGCGCAAGGTCAAGTCCGGCGCGGCGTCGCAGCGCGTCGCGCGGGCCGCCGGCTCGGCCGGCGACGTCGCCGTCGCGGCGGCGCCGGCGGCGCCCAAGGACGCGGCGCCCGCCGCCGAGGCGCCCGCCGCCGAGGCGCCTGCGCCGGACGCCGCCGCGCCGCGGGGCGCGGACGTCTCCGGGCGGAACGTGAGCGGGCGGTCGTGGAAGCCCAAGGCGTCGCGGCGGAGCTCCGCGCTCAAGTCCGGGCCGCCGCGCAAGTCCTGGGCCGAGAAGACCGCCGACCGCGAGGAACGGCGCGCGGTCCGCGAGAAGGAGGCGGAGCTCGTCGAGGAGCGCAAGGCGCGCATCCTCGAGTCGAAGAAGTACCGCGACGCGAAGAAGGCGCGGAAGCAGCGCAACGAGTTCAAGAACGCGCGGTACCAGGTCATCACGAACGAGCACACGGTCAAGTCCATGTCGAAGAAGCAGCTCCGCCAGGTCAAGCGCACGCGCGTGTCCCAGGAGGGCGAGATCGAGCTCGTCGACGCCTACGCGCCCACGCGCGACGCGAAGAAGCCCCGGCGCTAGCGCGCGCGGCTCTAACGTGGAACGGCGCAAACCCGCCCGCCGGGGCGCTCGTCGCACGAGGCGATGCACACCGCGTCTTACGCCGCCGGCTCGCTCGCGCCGTCGCCCGGCGCGGGCCGGCTCGCGTCCCGGCGCGCGTCGCCGGCGAGGTCCAGGTCCGCCTGGGAGAGGACGCCCGTCTTGTCCGCGTCGAGGGCGTCGAAGCGCGCGTGCGCGTCGTCGAGGTCGCCGGGCGCGACGAGGCCCTGCTTCACGAGGAGGAGGAGCGTGAACTCGTCGCGGGAGATGTTCGAGGAGTTCCTGGAGAGCCCCAGGTCCGTGACGACGGCGCCGCGCGCGAGCTCCGCGAGCGTCGCGGGCGTGAGCTCCGGGTACCTGGGCGGGAAAAGAGTGCGACATGCCCAAAGGCTCCTATCTCGGTCATGTTGCGCTCGTTTCGGCTCATTCTTGGACGAGCGATGATCTCTCGGAGCGCTCTCGAAGCCTGGATGCTTTTTCTGGAGCGCGCGCGCGCGGACCACCCACGTCGAAGCGACGTCGAATCGCCCGTGTCCCGCTCCGCGGGGTACGACACGAGCGCCGCGCGCCGCGCGGCCGCGAGCTCGCGCTCGAGGGGCGCGACGGCGAGCGCGCCGACCAAATTCGAGAAGGTCACGGCGGACAACAGGCCAAAGGCCGCCGCGAAGGGCCGGCCCGCGGCCGACGGGACGACGTCGCCGTAGCCCGTCGTCGTCGCGACCATGACCGACAGGTAGAGCGCGTCGCCCCACGCGAGGCCGTCGCAGCGCCGCAGCCCCGCGGCGCCGAACAGGAGGAGGCACGCCGCCGCGAGGCCGAGGCGGAGCCCGGACCGCCGCCGCCGCCGGCCCGGGTTTCTTTGCCGAGCGACCCAGTCGTCGACGACGCGCGCGGCGAGCGTGCCCACGAGGCCGAAGCCCGCGAGGGCGACGCCGCAGCAGACGGCGCGGCCCGCGGGCGTTATCGGCGCGACGTCGCCGAAGCCCGTCGTCGTGGCCGTCGTGGCGACGAGCCACGCGGCGTCCGGCAGCGAGCACTCGAGCCGCGACAGCGCGAGCGTCGCGGACGCCGCGAGGGCCGCGAAGGCCGCGAGCGCCTTCGCGATCGGCAGGCGCGGCGCCGGCTGGACCACCGGCGGGGCCTTGAGGGACGTGCCGCGCCGGCCGCCGCGGACGAGCGCCGTGGGCAGCGGCGGCAGGCCCCGGCGCCGTTTTGGCGTGTTGTTTGCGTTGATGATGGCGGCCATGCGGGGGAGCCGCGGTCGTTTCGGCGCGAGCAGCAGCAGCGCGAGCATGGCAGGGCCGCTGCCCATCGTTGTTTGTGGTGCGAGCAGCAGCAGCGCGAGCACGGCAGCGCTGCTGCCCATACTCGACTGCGAGCTGTGGCAGATTGGCGCCGGCACTGGCTTCGGGGAGTGGGGGGGTTACCGCAATGTTTGCGAACGGCCCGGAGGCGCCTCAGCAGGCAGTTCTAGGTGGAGCAGAAACGCTGCGATAGCGACAAGGAAGTTCAGTATTTTTAGAGGCTGAATCGGGAGAGAGGGGCGCAGCGATTTGACTGGGACGACATCAAGGGCATCCCGCCGGCGCAGGTGGCCCTGTGGGAGCTGATGCTCACGCCGCCCTCGCAGGACTCGCTCACCGTCCGGGAGCCTACTATGCCTGGACTTGCTTTAGCATTCCGCCTTCTCCTGATACGAAGGACGTAGGGTCAGAGTGGAGCTCTGTGTGGTCGAGACTAGGCACGCAACTCTCATAGGCTAGAGAGTTTTCCCTAGTTATTGCTGATAACGTCTTCATGAGACACAACTTGCGAGTTGCAAAAGGCAGCAATTCGTTTCCGCCCTACTTGTATCGTGCTCATGCTGCTATTAGAGGATGGGTCACTAGAGCCGCAGCGCCGTCGTTGCCGCGCGCGATGCGCGGTCAGCTAACTGCACCAGACGAAGCTGTCAACCTCCAGTTCAAGGCCGAGGTGGAGCGCGGAAACGCTCAGGTCAGAGGAATAATCCTGATGATAAAGAGACAGATGAGCCAAGCATTACATGCCCGTGATGTCGAACTCGTCGAGGCGCCGCCAGCCTGGGAACTTAGAGGCGTCGACGGACCACACCAGGGTGCTACCGGCGTCCTTCACCTCCAGGGGGGAGCCTCGGCAGGAAGACGCGCACCACACGCACGACCGCCTGGCCGCCGCCTCGCAACAGCATCATCAACTGTGACGCGTCAACCGACATCAAGAATCAACGGCGTCCAGCTCATTTTTGGCGCCTCGTGTCCCGAAAACTGAGGCAGACGCCTCGAACTCGCCTTTCCGCGACGCCATGCGGATCCTCTACGCCCTGGTCGCCGCGACGGCCTTCGCCTTCGCCCCCGCCGCCCCGCCGAGGACAGCCGTCGCCCCGGGCGCGACGCGACGAGGGCGCGACGGGAAGATCTACGTCGGCGAACCGGAGCCCATCGAGCAGGTGGGCGACCTGCTGCGCAACCTCGGGCGGGGCCTCGAGCAGGGCGCGCGGGGCGTCATGGACGACGTCTTCGGCAAGCAGCCCGTGCTGAACCCGATCCCCATCGAGATGCCCCCCGAGGAGCCGGAGGCGATCCCGGAGAAGGACCCCTTCGACTTCCCGCCGCCGAGCCGACCACACGGCGGCGACTGGGGCCTGGACAGGTTCTAGGGCCGCGGCGCCGCCGCCGACGCTGTACACATTCGCCGCCGATCGAGGCGGTCCGCGCGGTTCGGGCGCGGCCCGTTCGAACGCGCGGCGCGCGTTCCCCGCTGGTCATAACGGAGCGCTCGCCTGTGCCTCGCGGCTCCCCGGGGCGCGGGGTCCACGTAGGGACGTCGAGACAAAACACCGGGTTACACGTCGAAGGCCCCGCGCCTCGCCTCCGCGAACGTCCGCGCGAGGGGGCTCCGCCGCGCGGCGTCGCCGCCGCGGTCCTTGCGGACGCGCGCCTCGGCGGCGTTGAGGCCGACGACGAGGGCGCACACGTGGAGCGCGCCGACGTAGGCCGCCCAGGGCAGCGGCCGCGTCCGTTTGCCCAGGACGCCGAGCTCGAAGCCGCGCCGGAGCGCGTCGCGCGCGTGGTGGCTGCCGACGGCGGCGAAGACGAGCGCGGCGGCGCGGCCGCGGCCGAGCGCGAAGGCGAGCAAAACGGCGGCGAGCAGGAACGTCGCCGCGTGCGCCGGCGGCCGCCGCGGGAGGCTCGTCGCCGCGGAGAGCCGCGGCGACCGCGCGGCCAGGAAGTGGTCGGCGTCGACGAGACACGCACAGAGGGCACACGCGGCGGCGGTCCGCGGCCGCACCGCGCCGACGGCGGCGTAGGAGCCCGCGCCGGCGACGAGGAAGCCGACGGCGCCGTGGACGGCGTTGTCGGCGACGGCCGCGCAGACCGGCCTCCAGGACGCGCCGAAGGCGTCGCAGGCCAGCGGCAGCGCTTCCAACACGTGCGCGGCGACCGTGAGCGCGGCCGCGGCGACAACACAGCGCATCATCGGCGGCAGCACCTGCCCTCTCGACCGGCTCGACCTCGTCACGTGATCACACACGATGGCTTCGACTGCCGTCGCCGTCGCAGCCCTCGCGGCGGCCGCCGGCGCCTTCGCCCCTCGTCCCCGCGTCGCCGCGTTGCTGCGCGCGAGGAGCCAGGTCGACGGCTTCGTGCCGCCGCCCGACGACGCGGCGTGGATCGCGCCGGGCAAGGTCGTCGCCGCCGCCGACGAGCACGGCCAGTACTACGACGCGACGGTGCTGGAGCTGCGGACGCGCGCCGACGGCGGCATCGGCGCGGCCTTCGTGCAGTTCATCGGCTGGGAGGACTGGCCGAGCGAGTGGGTCGCGCGCGAGTCCCTCGCGTACCTGCCGCCGCGGTCCGCGCCGCCCGTCGACGACGCGGCGCTGTCGCCCGAGGCGCTCGCCGAGCGGCGCCGCGTGAACCGGCGGTCCCAGGACTGCTGGCAGTTCGACCAGTTTACGAAGGCCTTCGCGGGCAGCTGGCGCGGGGCCGGCGAGCGCTACGTCGCCGCGGGCCGCGCGTTGGCCGTCGCGGCGACGTTCGACGCCAAACTGGACCTCGAGCGCCGCGACGACGCGACCGTCGCGTCGGCCCACGACGCCTGGGCGCTCGCCGTGTCGGAGCAACGGACGAACTTCGTCGTCCTCGACTCGCTCGGCGACGGCGCCGCGGAACCGGCCCGGGAGGCCGCCGCGCCGCCGCTCGGCGCCGTGACGCTCAAGCCCGCGACCTTCCGCGCCGAGGCCCGCGACGGCGGCGAGCTCGGCGGCACGGCGGCCAACGGCGAGGCCTTCTCGACCGCGCGCGTCGACGGCGACGCGCTGGTCGTCGACGTCTGGGCGCGCGCCGCCGACGACGCGCTCTCGCTCCGCGTCGCCTACGAAAAAACGACCGGCGGCGCCTGGGCCTTCGCCTGCTGCGACCTGGCGCGCTGGTGTCCCGCGGGCGGCGCCGCGGCGCCGGCCGGCGACGCTCTGGGCACGGGCCTCTACGACGTCCACCGCCGGCTGCGCGACATGGCGACGCGGGGCGCGCTCGACGAGTCCGTCGGCATCCACGAGCTCCGCCTGCCGGGGCGCGTCACGGCGGCGTTCCCGCGGACCCTCGACCCGGGCCGCGGCGGCCTCAACGCGAACGGCGGCGGCGTCGTCAGCCTCGACCTCGTCGCCGGCGACATGCGGATCCAGGTCGACCGCGTCTTCGACACGCCCCTGGGCGACCTCGCGTCCTTCGAGATCACGGACATCCTCGTCGACGACGCGGAGAAGTTCCCGGCCAAGCCCGTCTTCGACGACTAGGGGGGCGGGCGTACACGCGAGCGGCCGGGTGTACATCTGAGTTCGCCCGCGCGAGGGGGAGAGCGGGACTCGGCGAGGTCACTTGCGAGGTCGCCACTCGACGAGTTCGACGTCGATTTTCGCGAACCCGGGGGCTATATGCTAGAGCTATATGCCTCGGCTGGAAGCGTGCCCGCGGTCGGAAGCGACTGCGCAAGGTCGGAGACGGCGCTTCGACTTGCGCTTACTTGCGCTTCGACGCGAATGGACAAGTGACGACGTCGACGAGGGCAGCGCAAACCTCATCCACCCGTCCTCGTCACCTGTCCAGCTGTGCCTAGATGCGACAAGGGGATCTTCAAGTATCTGGGGAGGCGACTACGCTGCCTCGAGGCGAGGCGACTATTATCCGGTCTGAGCTCCTCGGCAGCCCATTTCCGACCCCCGGGTCCTGGCTCCGTTGGGCCCCGCCGTGGCGGCGCTTCGGTCGAATGGGTACGTAGACCGCTTCCCCAAAGCGATTTCTTCTGGGAACACGTTTTGGCTGCGCACGGGCTGCCGCCTGTTCTAAGGAACCCCTCGAAGGGCTGCCTGCTGCCTGAGTTTGGCGGGGATCGTTGACTTTTTGGGCCTTTGACCTGCCCCATGACCTGCCCGAGCCATCGAGGCGAAAATATCAACGATCCCCGACGGCTACGACCCGACGTCGCGCGTGCAGCTCCGCGAGCACCTGGTATTGCCCCGC